CAAGAGAATACTCGACTCTCAAAACACTAAACCCGTATTCTATATTTAGAAGTATTTAGAAAAGGATTAAATTAAAACCTTAGGTCTAAGTCTTCCTTTTATAATCTTCATTCTGTCCATGGGCTTCGAATCCTCTATTAAAGTATTCCTTGATTCACTACTAAAGCGCTCCTTAAATCTTGGAACAAATTTACTAAAGTACAGTTGTAGCAATCCAAGATGTCGAGTCTTCATGGTAGGACATCTTTGTTCGACATGTTGTTCTTCACATATTTTAACATCTTGATCAACATCTTGTTTTATCAAAATCAACCAAATTTTTAGAGCTCAAATCTTTGAAGCTTTCAAAAAATATGTGGCACAATGTGAAATGCGGTATTAAGTCATCAAATTGATTTAGACGATTGACGTGGTATTTGTGATTGGGATAACTTGCTAAATGAAAGAAAATAGTTTACTTATTCCGCATTAAGTACTCCGCTTCCTTATTATTATACATGTCTTTTGGGCACTAGGATGGCTCGAAACTATACACACACACACACACACACACACACACACACACACACACACACACACACACACACACACACACACACACACACACACACACACACACACACACACACACACACACACACACATATATATATATATATATATATATATATATATATATATATATATATATATATATATATATATATATATATATATATATATATATATATATATATATATATCATCTATTAAAGGTTAAAAGTAATTAATTTCTTATTTGTCATTTCTCCTAGCTAGTTAAAGATAACCTAATCTGACGATAAAAGACTCTGTGATACCTTTATGTCCTAGAGCAATCCAATAGCATCAAGTATGTTTAACATCATGGGACTTGAATAAAACATTGAATAAGAGAGGGAAAAATGGAAGACAATTTCTCATCCCATCTTTATACATTCTCCCAGGCCCTGCGCGAAATTTCTAAAATGCCCACTGTTTTTGGAAATGCATATTCGTACGCACCAAAAACCATTTTTTTCACAAAAAAAATCGAATATGAACAACCAAAGTTAATTTAAGGGTGTGTTCATAGATGCATCTCCGAATACACTTTTTTTTTAAATTAAAAAAAAATAGTTCGTAGATGCATCTCCGAAATAGGTGAGCATATTTAATTACTCGCTTCAGACCCTCCTCCCTCTTCTCCTTCTTCATTTTCAGAAAAACAACTTTCTCTCTACCAAATTTAACTCATTTCAAGTTTCCACTTAAGATAAAGTTTTGAAGCTACATTTATTTGGTTCTTACCATTATTAACTCCTTCTACCTACTGCATTTAATATGATAGCACTTTAATCGATCACCAACACATTTTTCAGTAAGTTTCTCATTTAGCTTATTTTGATTTTTGATTAATGTATTAGCATAATAATATTAGTTTTAATGCATTAGATATCTCAAATAGGTTAATGTTCAAGTTTGGAGACCATGTTTATATGATTTGGATGTGTTTGAATGTTAGGGAAGTTGCAGAAGCACTTCTGCCATTGAAGCAAAATGAAGCTTTTTTTAGATATGCATGTCTGAATGGGGTGAACATGGTTTTGGAGATGCATATCCGAACTCTTTCCTTACTCATAATTTGTCATGTTTTTTTCCAGGAAATGGATGAAAACCAAGGAAGAATGTGATTCAGGTGACCCACCATAACTGTCTCTGCTTGTTGCGAGAAGGCTCGTCAAGACGAGCATGCTAGAGCCGTCCCTTCTTTCCCTCACGGTAGGGAGCCATCGGCTTTTAGGATTCGGGTTTCATGGGGATCGGGATCCTAGAGTCGTGTGACCCATGATGTGGATGCCCCAGTTTCACCTTGGGTACCAGTTGTTGAGGATGCCCCCCTTGCAGACCCATTTCCAAGAGCACCCACATACACGTCTTTACTCATATACTTTGGAGAACAAGTGGCTCCGTATGTCTGGGAAGAAGAGGTATAATTTTGAAATTCCTCTATTTTTTATTTTGTATCCATTCAATTGATCATGTTATATTTTATTTTCAACAGGAGCGTGCTTGTCTAAAATGTGTGAATTATTCAAGAAAGATTCACAGTCTTTATCAACCAGCGGGAGGCTGGTTCCAAAATGTACTCCAAAACTCTAGAATTGTAGGTCTTTGTGCTTCCATGTACACCAAAATCATCCATGGCATGCACGTTGCATTTGTTGAGAGATGGCATAATGAGACATCATATTTCTACATCCTCATTGGTGAGATGACTATTACACTAGATGATGTAGCATGCCTCATACATCTTCCCATCAAAGGAATGTTGCTTGATCATTCTAAGATCAGTAGGATTGATTCTATTGATATGATGCTGACTTATTTGGGACCTGAACAGGATGAAGCCTTTGAGTAGTGTAGAAGCACCAGAGGTTCACATGCTAAGTTTGCTTGGTTGACGAAATTATATGAAAAAAATTTGGACTCATACGAACACCCGAACACCGATGATTTATGGGTTACCTACCATTGGGAGTGTGCCATGAAGTGCTTCTACCTATTCTTGGTTGACACGTCCATGTTTGTGGACTAAAGTGCAAACTACATGGATGTGGCCTACCTAAAATATTTCATCGACTTGGAGTCCATTCACGAGTGGAATTGGGGGGAAAGGTGCTTGGTTTACATGTACTCCAACCTGAACGAAGGTTGCAAACAGACGATAAAGTAGATGACAAGCCCATACACCATGCTTACGGTAATTTCCAAATTCCACTATTAAGTTATAAACTAATTTTTTTCACACTTGTTACTAATAATTTTTTTCTTATTGGTTTTCACTTTTCAAGATGGATCCTTGCTCACTATCACCGCATCCACGGGTTTAAACGTGACCCGTTCTATACTCATGATTGGCCATATGTTTTTCGGTTTGTCCCTAGCAGATGGAACGATCATATCTTGCTGTACCATGTGCATATTGACCAGACTCAGCATGACGATGTAAAATGGAGGCCATACATTACTCACTGGGACATAGTTTCATTCGACCATATTTCCTTATACTCAAGATGGTTGGCATGTGGGTCTAACATCATGTATAATTATCTGCCCGAGCAGTGCATGTGGCAGTTTGGGTACATGCTGGTTATTTCGAGAGAGACCCCCTTCAGGCTGTTCCTATCACTATTATCCGCAGAAAGTTGGATGACATTCTGGTAGATTTTGAGAGTCGTCTAGTACTGGTGGAGTATCAGACTCATGAGGCCACATCTCAGTGGGGATATGTTGATAGTTACATGACATGGTTCTATAACGTGTCACACTCTTACATGACATATGACGCTCTTGGACGTCCACCTAGGCCTGCTCATGAGGAGATTTTGTAGAATGAGCATGCCAAGGACAACTATGCCATTGATGTGTTGTCGCGCTGTCAGACCATTATGTGGCTTACACGTGTGGGCATCGAGTTCAAAGTGTTTGCGAGAGGTGGAGATAAAGTGGTCTCCCTAGCACAGTCCATTCTTTCCGAGGCACAAAGTGTCATGGCTTAGCGTAGGCAGAGGAGAAGTCAATGTGTTAGGATTAGGCATAGAGAATAAAATATATATTTGATTGTATTTTGTTTATTTTTCACTGACTTGGAAAATAATTGTTGTACTATTATATTTCGTTTCTATAATATTTATTAAATCATTATATGGTTCTATAATATTCGTTTTTATTAATAGTTGAAATAAATGATGGTAATTTTAATCGAATTAAAATTAGTTTGGATTGAAAACACCACAATTTTAGAAAATTGATTCTGGAAAAATCACACACACAATAATTTGGAAATACATGTCGAAATTTTCTCCACATATGATTTGAATATGCATCTCCGAGCCAATTTTCTTAAGAAATGAGAAGTTTGATTTTTTAAAGATAAAATATAATTTCGGAGATACATCAGTAAATTTACTCTTGGAGTGTATTCGGAGATGCATCTCCGAACTAAAATAATATGAAAATAATATTTAATACGTTCAGATATGAATCTCTGAATTCATCTAAAAACATTTTTAAATTTTCATAAATACGCCCCATATAATATGGGTTAGATGAGAACTTGATAGAAGAAACCCATTAAGAAAAATGAAGCTATATCCAATTGATGACGACATACTGAACCATCTAATTAATTTCGAAATCTCCATTGAAAAATGAATGTGACGCCAACACAAGGCTCTTCATAAGCACATCATATCTAGAGTATTAACTTAAGCCACTTCAATAAACTAAGTTTGAGGTTAGAAAAGTGATTGAATTGAATGCAACTCACCCAACTCAGCCACCTTTCAACAAATCAAATGTCTTTGTCATTGATATGCTAGACTCAAAGTGGTGGCATCGTGGCTATCCCCTCCTTTCATCTATAAGATTCTTGATTCTTTATACAACTAAATATTATTATTTTCATATCTCCTTTTTATTTATTTATAACTCAACAAAGAGGATAATGGTAGTGGTATATACTAACTACGTGGGGCCTCCCATAGTTGAAGGCTCATATATGCTCCATCCTTAACCGTTTTGGTTTGTTGTCGCAGAAAGAGAGAATAAAGACAAATCAAAGAAGAAAAATGTGTTGCTGTGGTTCGCAGTGTCAGAAAATCAGAGTGAGTAATGCAAAACAAATAACAAAACGCAATGCAACAACGTAGTAGCAAGCAATGAGAGTGTTTTCTCTGAGTGAGTGCTCCCACTTCTTCTTTCTTGTCCTATTCATTCCTCACTCCCGTCACGTTTTTCCATTCCTTTCTATTATTATCATTGTTATTCCCACTTTACCCTTCTTCCTCTTTTTAACAAGATAGAGAGGGTAGGCAAATCGGTCATTTTACAAGAAACAAAATCATGTGAAGTATTATATAACAAACAAACAAACACTCAACACACCCTCATTCTTCAGTATTTGCTCAGAAACTCTTTGTTCTCTCTCTCTCTGAAATATGGCAGACCCTTCAACCATTTACGAGTTTCTGAAGCAGCAACAGCAACAACCACCAACTTCATCCTCTTCAGCTTCACGACCTAGAAAATCAGCACCACCTCCAACACAAAGAACTTTCCAATGCAACTTCTGTTACCGCAAGTTCTACACTTCTCAAGCTCTTGGTGGTCACCAAAACGCTCACAAACTTGAACGAGCTGCTGCAAGATCAAGAACCATCAACCTCAACAACAACAACAACAACAACAACACCAACAATGTTGTCTCTATCTCATCACCTCAACCGCCACTACCACCTCATTTTTCACTCTTCAATGGATCCAACTCCAAACCCTTGACTGTGTCTGAACAAATTGAACACGGTCATTTCTTTCATCATCCTCATCCTCATCACTCTTATTGGCAACAATTTGAAATGGAGTCTTTACAGTTTCAAACACATCATCCTCATCACCATGTTGCAACAACAACAACAAACACTCTTCCTATGCTTCATTTCAACCCTTCTGCCGCTTCAACTTCAACTCATTCTCACCATCTTTTCTCCAACAATGCTGCTTCTGCTTCTCCACCTCAACTTGTTGATGCGTCTGACCATGTCAATCTTGACCTCACACTTCACCTGTGAAAGTTTTCGTTTTTCTTTCTATCTTTTTATTTCGTTTTTTAAGGTTTTGTCGTTAGTTTTTTTTAGTTTCAAACAAACATTATCCTTTTTCTCTTATGATGTGAAAAGGAATCTTAGGGTTTAATGCTGTTCTAACTTCTAAACTGCTGAGCTGTTGAGTTCAAATCTCAATCTACTATAACGTTACTAGTTTTTTTTTTTTAATAGTTTATTACTTTATTTTTATGGTTATTTTCTTTTGTTTAAGTTATTTGCATTAGTTGTTACATAGGAGTATGTACTCAATTTGATTTGGAATAGTCAATCACTTTAACAACAAATGTTGCACGTCCATCAAATTCTTTTGGATGATTGATTTTGATGGGATGGTCTAAGTTGAGAGAATTAATGAATATTCACTATATTTTGAGCATAAGAATAATTGGTAATTGAATTTTAATTTGGAAATATACATGACATGAGAACATGAAATGTAATGTGGTTTGCAATTAGTAATTGTAAAGTGGATTCCTACTCAGAAAGAGAATGTGAAAAGACCTTGGAGTTTTGATCTTTATGCTATTAATGTTTTGTTTTGTTAAAGCCTAAAGAGGGACCCTAGACAATGTAGTTCATTTTTGTTGTGGAATTAGCAAGTTATAGCTGCTATAGATGACTATAACATTTCGAAAAAGGAGTGCTATTGTTGTTGTGCAGTATTAATAATATATAATTCTAATTAGGGATTATCATCCGAAAATTGTTATGCTTTAACGGGAGCCTTCATATAACTCCCTTATATTTTCAACAGTCCTTTTAGATTTGAGACGGTTTGGCTTATGCGTGGTAATTTTTGGAATTGGATTAGAGAGAAATGGGGTTATAGAGGGAGTTAGTGTCTATGTTAGATGGTTTAACTACTCCTATTCAGGAGTGGAACAAGGACATTTTTGGTGATATCTTCAAGCGTAAGAAAGCGATCATAGTTAGGTCGAATAATATTCAAAACAGACTTCATTATGGCTACAGTAGATATCTCGAGAATTTGGAAGGAGGTCTTTAAGACCAATTAGCTCAAACTCTTTACTAATAAGAGTGTCTTTGATTTCAAAAGTTGAGAGGTAATTGGATTATTGATGGAGATAAGAACACTAAATATTACTACTCGAAGACCATTATACGTAGAAGGAGAAATGAAATCATGGCTCTTAGAGGAGAGAATAGAGATAGGGATGTGCAGCATGGAGAAAATAAAGGAGACGGAGATGCAACATTTCTTTTTTTAAAAGAGGATCGAGAGATAAGGGAGCCCATAGTCTCCTATTTCACTTATCCTACTTATTTGGAAGATCACCAAGTTAACTTGTGCACTGTCTCGTCCAAGCTTGAGACTAAGAAGATATTTTTTTGATAAGAACATGTACAAAGCGTGAAAATGTTTCTCAGCTCTACACGGTAGTGTTTGTGATTGCATGTACTCTAATTAAAGTGTTTTTGATAAAGACCACCATACATGAAGTCAAAGAAATATCAAGGCTGTGGAAAAGAAGATATTCAAGATCATATAATATTTCAAGATCACTCTTTGAAGTCTTCTACATGTGTACAACCAACTTTCAAGATGAAGATTTATGAAGATTCATCAATAACTTAGGTACAAGTTTTAATTTGAGATTTTTAAGATGATATAGTGTTCAAAATATACTCTAAACATTTTACATAAGTGGCATGATCATTTAAGAGTAAAACATTGCATGTCCATCACTTAGAAAATAAATTTTTATCACTTTCGCTCAATGGTAACCAGTTACAGGGTTACATTAACCGGTTACAGGGCTTCGCAAAAATAAAATAAAATTTCTAGTTCAGTGGTAACCGGTTATAGGCATGCAAATTTGAAAATATACACGTTATCGCATATGTGTAACCGATTACAGCCCTACGGTAACCGGTTACGGCTGAAGAAAAATTTTAAAAAAAATTGTTTTACTTGGCTGTTGGATGATACCTCTTGGGGTGCAACCATTGTATCTTTTTACTCATTTAGAGTATAATAAAAGGGTGCATTTCATATATAAAATTCGTTTGCACTCTGATCATAACATAACACACATTATTTAAAATTTCAAAAATTCTTAAGTGTTGTAAAACTTTGAGAATTTACATATTGCATGAAACATTGTTTAGAACTTTCATACTCATGATTGTTTCAGCATATATTGAACACTAGATCTGACTATAAACTTCCTATTACATTTTGTCTTAGTATCTTGATAACTATAGTGTTATTCAAGAATTGATCATACTTTAAAAAAAATCAGATTTTGTATAAGATTAACCTTGCATTCTAGGATTATTGGAGCAAGTGTGTGCATTAAAGAGGATTGTTCTTCTTTCACTTAGTGTTCAAGATATTAAAGGTTTTAAGAGTATTTGATCTCCCTATAGGTTAGATAGTAAGGCATCACCTTTGGTGTGATTAGGCATGTGCAATCATTCTAAACTATAGTGAATTTTCTTTCGTGTTGGCAAGAAGACTGGAGTACTCTTGATCTGTGAGGGGAACCAGTATACATCCGGTGTTCATTTACTTTCCTCACTTTATTGCTTTTATCATCATAATCAGAAAAACAAGAACTTTAAAAAAAAAAAGGAAAAATTGACCATCACCTAATTCACCCCCCTCTTAGGTGCATTATTAACTTACATTTGGCATTAGAGAAAGTTAAGGTAACTTGTTCCTATTCGATCCAGAATGGCTTCCGCACTACCAACTTTCAAATATGGTGGTAGTAACAACAAGCCTCCATTGTTTTGTGGTGAATACTTTTACTTTTGGAAAATTCACATGAAGGATCATCTAAAAGCACAAGGAGAAGAAATATAGGATGCTGCCCAAAATGGTTCATTTATTCTGATATGTGTTGTCAATGATGTTGGAACATCAAAGTCTAAAACATCACGGGATGACGATGATAAAAAAAGGTCCTTTATGATAAGAAAGCAATTAATCTTCTTCAAGGTGCACTTTGCATGGATGAATTCTTTCGTGTTTCGGCATGCACAACAACAAAGGAAATTTGGGATACTTTGGTTGAATGAAACACACGAAGGAACAGTCAAAGTCAAAAGATCAAGATTGAATATATTGAGTCAAGAGTTTGAGATGTTTAGAATGGAACCCAGAGAATCTATTCTCAATATGTAGAAAATATTTGTTTATTTGACGAATCACTTAAAATCTCTTGGTAAAACTCTCACCAATGATGAACTCAACCTAAAGGTGCTTCGATCTTTAACTAGAGAATGGCAACTAAAAGTAACGACTATTTCAGGGAAGAAGAATTTATCCAATATGTCATCCGCAACTCTATTTGGTAAACTTCAAGAGTACGAGACGGAACTTGGAAGACTTGCTAAGCATGGAAATCAAGAAAAGAAATCAAAAGGCATTGCTTTGAAGGTTGAATCCAAGGAAGTCGCTATTGAAGAAAATCCGAAGAAGATGAAAATTTCATGCGTCTTGTAAAAAGGTTAGGCAAATTCTTTGGTTCTAAAAATAATTTTGGTAAATCTAACTTTGTCAAAAGGAAGAAATTCTCAAGGAGTAAAGATAAAGAAGCCTCCACATCAAATGTTACATGCTATGATGTGGAAAGCAAAGCCATATCAAATTGGATTGTCCAAACCTCTCCAAGAAGGATGCAAACAAAGGAATGAAAGACTCCAAATATAAGAAAGCTTACATCGCTTGTAATGACAATGAAGTTAGTACATCATCCGAATCGGAAAATGACGAATGTTCAAATTTAGCATTGATGGCTACTCATGAATCTGATGATGATGAAAATGAAGAGGTTAGTACAAATTTTACACTTTATGATGAAAATGCTCAAGGTGCAATTGATGAACTTCTAAATGAATGCAAAGTCTTCTATAAAAAGATATCAACACAAGAAAAGGAACTTATTTCTTTTCAAGAAAAGATTGATACTATGAACAAGGATCTTGAATGTCAAAAACAAGTTTTTCTTAAAAAAGAACAAGACTTTGTATGCAAAAAATGCGAATCATATACTTTTCAAATTGTTCAACTAAAAAGAGTTATTGAACGATATAAAAAAGGAAAAATTGGTTTGGAAGGATTGCTTAGCAAACAAAGATATCCTAATGACAAAAGTGGACTTGGTTATTCAAAAGAAAATAAATCAAGTTCCAACAAAACCATTTTCGTAAAGGCTAGTAATCAATCTGAAACCAAGAAAACCAACAATGAGCAAATTAAGCATAATCATCAAAAGAAAAAGAAAAGAGTTGTTAAGAAAAAACAAGTTCCAAGATACAAGAGCAACTTTATTCCAAATTGTTTTTATTATGGTATTCTTGTCCATACACCTAATACTTGCTATGTTAGAAACTTTAGTATGGCAAGTGGACACTATGTATGGGTTAAGAAAGAAACTAACTATGAAGGACCCAAGGCAACTTGGGTACCTAACAAGAAATAATTTCTTTTGTTTTGTAGGTATGCTTGAAATCCACTCAAAGTCTATGGTATCTCGATAGTGGATGTTCTAAGCATATGACGAAGATGTTAAGAAATTTTCACATCTAACATTTAAAGCCAAAGGGGTATGTCACCTATGGAGATAATACCAAAGGAAAAATTCCTGGCATTGGCAAAGTTGGTGCAACACCTTTCACATCCGTTGAATATGTACTTTATGTTTAAGGACTCAAGCACAATCTTCTAAGTATTAGCAAACTTTGTGACAAAGGATTCAAGATCAAATCCAATAAGTATGAATGTTTGATCATGGACAAAATAACCAATGAGGTAAAACTCAAATGTAAAAGAGTTAACACTATTTTTATGATCTCTTAAGATAAGTTGTCTTTTAAAGTAAAATGTATTATGGTAAACAATCATGAATCATGGTGTTGTACCCCAAAATTCGCCCTCCCATTTTCTTCAAGACATTCTTCTAAGGTTTTCAAATGCTCAAGGATTCTCAAGAGTT